TATTATTATTATTATTATTATTATTATTATTTATTAAAAACATTGGAGGTTTTGTCTACTTCTCTTTATTGGGAAACTGGAGGGCAAAATGTCACAAGAATGTATTAAATGCATTGAAAGCTTATTTCAAGTGTTAAATAATTTGTAAAATAGAAAGAATGACATTTAATGATTAATTGCCTGATTAAACAAACCCCTTGCTGTGCGTTACTATGGAATTCTTTGTTTTTTAAAAAAAAAAAACAGGAATGTGAGTGTATGTTTATTAAAGTTAGTTTGAGTTTTCTCAGAGCAAATTTATCTTGAGGAAATAAGGAAGCTTATATGTAATTTTTGTTAAATTTTATTCTTGAAATCTGAGTAGCTGCTTTTAAATGTCTTGATCCACAATTTTTAAAATGTATTATTATTATTATTATTATTATTATTATTATGTAAATAATAATATGTGGTTTACAGCTTGATTACATCAGTGTTGAACTATAAATTGTAAACCTCTCTATATATTTTACTTTGTCCTCTAATCCTGTGCAGCACGTGAAGCGAATCCTCCACATTATGTCAGAGAAGAAATCCAGACCTTCAGATGCACGTCCCAAAAACCTGCGTAGCTGGAGCGTGGACAGCTACATCCGCAGCGTTAAGAAGCGCTCGCGTGGTCCACGCCATGACGCCCCTGCCAGAGGAGGAGAGGAAGGAGACGCGCCAGATGAGCAGAACGTCCGCTCAACTTCCTGTCCCCAGAGACGGAGGGAGAGGAAGTGCAGCTGCACGGCTATCGGAGACGGAGACATAGACTCCATGTGCAGAAAAGCGCTGTCTCGCCGATCTCTCAGACAGAAGTTCCAGGATGCAGTGGGGCAGTGTCTCCCTCTCCGTGGTCACCATCATCATCACCACCACCATCATCACCATCATCATCATCAGAGCGGCTCGTCACGACCGTTCTCGGTGCTCCTGTGGTCCAAGCGCAAGATTCACGTGTCCGAGCTCATGGAGGACAAGTGTCCCTTCTCGCCGAAGTCCGAACTGGCGCAGTGTTGGCATCTTATCAAGAAGCATGGCACACATCAGAATGCATCATTAGTCCTAGAGGATCAAAAAAGCAGAAGGTTGTCCTCATCTCCTTCGACTTTTATTTCCTGGGAGGAAGTCAGTTCTAATGGTGCTTCCAGCTTGACTGATTGGGACACATCCTTTATTCATGGAGCGCCCCAGTGTTGCGCACACACCGACTACATCTTAGTGCCTGATCTTCTTCAAATCAACAACAGCCCTTGTTATTGGGGCGTCCTAAACCGCTTTGAGGCTGAGCAGCTCCTAGAAGGCCAGCCTGAAGGCACCTTCCTGCTTCGAGACTCTGCCCAGGATGACTATCTTTTCTCAGTCAGCTTCAGGCGCTACAGCCGCTCTCTGCACGCCCGCATAGAGCAGAGTGGCAAGCGCTTCAGCTTCGACTGCCGCGACCCCTGCATGTACACAGACGTCAGTGTCACAGGCCTGCTGAAGCACTACAGCGATCCGGCCACATGCCTGTTCTTTGAGCCGCTCCTGTCTCGCCCCCTGCCCAGGAACTTCCCCTTTTCCCTGCAGCATCTGTGCAGGGCGTTAATCTGTAGCTGCACTACATATCAGGGCATCGAGACTTTGCCCCTGCCTCATACACTCAGGGATTACCTCAGGCAATACCACTTCAAATGTGACGGGGCTTGTGATGTGTGACGAGCTACACAGTCAGGGCAAATGGACTTGTGTTAGAATCATAAAAAATGTGGGTTCTTGAGTGGTGTAATTTTTTACAGAAGATCGCAAAGTCAAATGGCAAGGTTACAGCCATCTGTCCGAGTTTGAAAAAGCATTATCGTCCCTGATTTTCTGGGTGGGACGATGGTCTTCCTTTTTCCAATCAGAGTTAGCCAATCTTGGGCCTCTATTAGCTCATTTATACAAAACAGGGTAATAATAGTAACAAAAAAAACCTAACAAAAAATGACTACAACTAAAACAACTAAACTAAAAAATTATGAGTTGTCTCTTACATAAAAAAAAGGTCCCTGTGATTTCCTTGCATTCTCAGAAATAAAGGTACCAAACTCTACTTTTGCTTGTTGTTGTTGTGGTACCATCAAGGGTACATCATTTGTACCTCTAGTTTGTATCTTTTACCTGAAAAAGTGAATATAGGATAATTTTAAGGTACATAATTAGACTTTAAGGACCACTGATACACCTTAAATACACCTTAAATACAGGTACAAAACATGTCCTCTTGATGGAAACACAACAGCAGCAAGGAAACATACAGTTTGGTACCTCTATTTCTGAGAGTGTGTATGCAGGTTTTGTTTATTTTCTTGCTACATTTTCATTTTATTTCTTTTTTATTATTATTTTAACATTAGCATCTGAAGTACTTATGTATTTTACGGACTGTTAGGTCTCATGGACAATCACAAAATATATTTGCATAAAAGCATACTCATTTTTCTGTTACAGAACCACTGAGTTAATCAATGGTTAATGCTCTTAATAAGCATAAATTCATTTTTAACTTCATTAAAAAATCATTTCGTCTCATTTTATACTTGTTCCACATTCAGA